GCCTGGGGTTCTTAAGTTGAATCTGTATGTAAGTCAGAACTGGCGTCCAGATTCAGCCGCTGTTGAAACTGATCAGTTTCAGCAGCGGTTGAATCTGGACGCCAGTTCCGACTTGCATACAGATTCAACTTAAGAACAAACCTATAGTCCCTATCTTGTACGTAACCCGGGGACTGCCTGTACCAGAGAAAGAATGGCACTGACTCAAGCTGCCTCTATATTGCAAGGCAAGGGGAAGAAGATTCAGATGAAATGGAGAAAAATGGATGGAGTCACAGGCCAAATCTAAACTTCCAGTTGACCATTTTCCTGTCTGAATTATATGTGGGAGAAGCTATCCATTAGTCCACCCTGTGGAGTCAGAAGTCAGAATTAATTTTAAAAAAACCTCAAATAAACTTGTGCTTTGACGTAACTATCTCTAATACAATATATACTCACAAATTTATTCTGTCTGAAATTAAATATAATAGTCTCCATTGTGGAAGTCTTAGGAAGGGCAGGAAGTTCAGCTTTCATTCTGCTTTCTGTATTGTACTTTCATGTGTTTATATGAAGAGTTCACTGGCATCCCACAATGACTTTACTTCATGCTCATTGAACAGGCATATGTTACTATAATTTTATCTTAGCCTTCTGCATTTCATTATTCTTTGGTTACAGAAATTCAAAACTCTCTTTTTGTGACACTTAATTATGTCAAACATTTGATCACAGATAGCAGTAATTAACTTTCACAAAAGTATTTCCAGAACAAAATTATAATATATCCTGTGGCTGTTATTAAAAGGAAGGACTATCATAAAGCATTGGCTGAAATGCGATAAAAGTTTACGATCTTCTGGAAATGTCAATGCTTACTTTGTCACAACAGCCAGGAAATGTTATTCAGAATTAAGTTCAGGTTTAATCTCATCTTTACTGTCCAACAATTACATGTCTAAGTCAGTCTCATTTGTGAAAATATTCCTCAAATTTCTTGTACTTTAATATGCCGAACAGTGATCTTAATGAGCAATTCAATACATTTAAGCATACATTAAAAATCAAAATAAATTACAGCCAGTCATAGCCCAAACATTTCTAATATTTTCTCAGAAATGACAATGAAATTGTTAGTAATACTCTGGGCAATATTTCCAAAAATTGGTGAAGGGAAAGGTGTACAATAAATATGGCGCTGCATATGCCAGGTTGCACTTCTAAAATCCAGGATTCGCTGGTCTGGCAACATCCGTGGTCCGGCATGAGCACAGATGTTCCAGAACCAGAGAGCCCTAGCATGCTGCAGAGGGTGGGAGCCTGGGAGCTGGTGCACAGCTCAGTTGGGCTGTGAAGGAGGGGCGGGAGCCAGCGTGTGGGTCAGCTGAGTTGTGGGGGATCCAGAAATCATGGTGGGAGGGGGCAGCAGCAGGGGGCCTGAAATGATCTCTCCAGTCTGGAAAACTCCTTCATCTAGGGCTAGTCAGGTCCTGAGGGTGCCGGACCAGGGAGATCCAACCTCTACTTGTTTGCAAGCGTGCATATGAGCTACATTGGCACTCAACGTTAAACACTTGAACTTTGTTTATTAAATCACATCGCTTTTAAAAAGCAAGTGACAGCAAATCCTTCCAACAGATTTTTATCAACAATCCATTTTCAAACTGGAAAGACAAAAACAGTAAACCCTGAAATCCTATTTTTTTCTCAAGAAAAGGACTGCACCATAATTAAAATGAGATGAATGTTGTCTGGGCTTGTTGAAGGAGAAGATCCCTGCTTTATGGACATGAAAATGAAGTCAGTGACTGGTTGAAAGGGTGGACTATAGTTAGCTTTGCAGTGATGACTTAATCCTGTCAACTAAATGCACTCTCCCTCACCCCGCTGCCTCTATATCAGACTGTCGACAGAGGGATGCAAATCAAGCACATCGAAATTGCTAATGAAGCCAGGATTTAAGTATCCTGAGCATCATTAGCTTAAACATGGCCACCACTTTTTTCTGAAACAGAGTTTTTGAAAAAACGGTAGTCTAGACTTGGATCCGTCGCTTTTTTCTGAAACAGAGTTTTTGAAAAAACGGTAGCCTAGACTTGGATCCGTCGAAAATAAAGTCTTTTTCAACAGATCCTATATTCCTCAAAAAATGAGGTTTACAGGATCTGTCGAAAAAGGCTTTAGTTTCAACAGATCTGCCTCTAGACTGCCGTTTTTTCAAAATAACTCCGTTTCTAAAAAAGTGGTGGTCATGTTTATGCTAATGAGGCGTGGGATATTTAAATCCCAGCTTCGTTAGCAATTTCGACATGCCTAATCTACATCTCTCTGTCGACAGAGAGGTGTAGTCTAGACACTCCCAGAGACAGTAAGGTGGAGGGGAGATGGGAGCTGGAGCATACATCTCTCTGTCGACAGAGAGGTGTAGTCTAGACACTCCCAAAGACAGTAAGGTGGAGGGGAGATAGGAGCTGGAGCACACGAGGAGCCAACTTTTAAGCTGGCTCCCCATGAGCACCAGATCCCATGGAGATGCCTGCTGTCTGATAGAGAAACAGCAGTACAGAGGGTGAGAGGGGGCAGACAAGAGCCAATATGTGTGGGGAGCCAGCTTTTAGGCTGGCTCTCTGTGCATGCCAGCTCCATGGAACCCCACCGGCCGCCTCCCGCTCCCCCGCTGCTGCTGCCTCCCACAGAGGCAATGGGGGGGGGGAGAGAGCTGTCTTAAAAGCCGGCTCCCCATGAGTACCAGCTCCACCTGCCCCCCAACTCCTGCTGCTGCCTTTGTATCACAGGCAGTAGTGCAGAGCAGGAGGGACAGGAGGGGCTGCTGCAGAACAGTATCTGTATGTGGCAGACCTGGGCTCGCCTCGA